CCTGTTGCTTGCGACGGGGTCTAAGTCAGGCGTGTGATCGTATACATTTTGCTGATTGTGTCCAACCCCACAGTGGCAACAGCAGATAAATCTTGTCTGTCTAATTCCTTCGGGCCTACTCTTTGACTCAGCACATATTATATTGGAAGATTTTCCTCGGTTTCCTTGTGTTAGCTGTATTTGTGCCAGTTTTTCTCTTAACGGTCAAACGCTAGTAACAAGTTCTAAGATGACTGGGTCTTTCCCAATACGGTTTGATTCACATGTCCTCCTGTAAGTTACCTCCTCTCCAAAGACGCGTGAGAGCTGTTCAGGTGTTGGCTCAGAATCTTGAGTATCAAGTTCCTAAGGTACATATTCCTGGAGGGCTTTCGTCCACCGTTGCGTCAATACAGCTTCTCTCCGTGTGATGACATCTACAAGCTGTTGCAGGTGGCTCAAGAACTGTGGTGGGGATCTGTCTTCTGTACTTCCCCTCTGAATCGATCATTCCGTACACTTCTTTTCCGACACAGTGAGATGCTTTATCACCTGCCGCTTCGGCACTGCGTACAGTTTTTCGGTTGGAAGGTGAAATATATGTTCCCTCACCTCCTTGCTAATCTGACTAGGTAACTGAGGAAACGCATTCCTGTACTTGGTTTCAAACTTACTGCTATAACGGCGAAAACTGTGTTCTAGTTGAGAAAACCATAGTCCCGGGTCATGTCAATCCAATTCGGGTAATCTAACTTCGGTGGATAGCAAAGAATCTACTTCTGTGGAAGTAAAGTCTGTAGGTGAGGAATGAATGTTGACGTTTACGGGAAGCTCAACATGCAACAAGGGAAGTTCCTACTCCCGCAAATCCTACAGTATTTTTTTATCGTAGATCAAAGGTATATATATATATTTCAGGTTCGAAATCGTAGTTCGAAGACGATTGCCTAACTAGCCAGGCATCGTGCACGAACGAAAGAATATAACACGATGGTGCGTCAGATGATGCGGATACCTTACTGTGAGCCTTCAGCTACACCAGCCGACTTAAACAGTGATAGTTAGCATCCAGTATTGAGTGATGGATGCTCTAAGCAAATAATTTTGAGGAATTAATTGCCTCTACTATTTTTTGAATCCAGTTCCGGATTTTAGCAGATTGGTATTGAGAAAGACAAGAATCCTTTTTGTTAATTTCTGACCCAAGATATTCATTTTGATCGGTTTCATGTAGACATAGTTGTTCTTTTTCCAAGATCTCATGTACATATCCGTATAATCACATGCTTGGTCATTTTACTAGAGTAGCCTGAATCGGTACCCCTCAGGAACCTACTTACCGAATTATTGGAATACGATTTCGTGATTAACCAGATTGAAGACTTTGGATTACCGTTCATGACAGTCGACTGCAGTAGACAAACCAGTGTTCTGGGCCGCATAAATTTAATAACAACAGCCGGCATTGTAGAGTACCACTAGTGACAGCTGTGGGCTTCAGTATTAGCTTCAAAAACGGTGATTTGGACAATGTCACTACCCTTACCACATTCTGTTGTACGAAACGCACCGAATGCTGATACCTGGTGCTATGGCAGGTTGGATTTTTAGAAAGATGCAATAGCTAAAGGATGAGATAGTTTCGCTCTTCAAACTCACACGGACTATGTAATACAAGTCGTACACCAGTGGGCTCACAAATTCGATGCGTTCAGTGAGGCAAGATTTCTGAACATAGATTAGATTCTAAGATTTTCACACATCTAAAAGACTCGCTCCACATTCTCAAACTTCCATTTTACTGAAGGTATATGTGGTCTGTGCTTTAGTAATCCACCCATCTATCTAAATAACTACCCGTCCTATGAACTGATGACTCGTCGTATCGCAGAAAACAGTTAAAATGTCTTAAAGTTTATTTTTGAATTCAAGATGGTGGGTAGTGAGGCGGTGAAAGCCAGTCAAGCACACAGAAGTGCATTTATCATTCAGTACAAGCCAACAGGTGCATAATACCTAACAAATCCTCAAGTAGATGTATATCCTACTTGGTTACTCGAACCAACCTTCTGAATCCCTTAATCATAATCAGATCTGGGCTGCCACAGCATACTGTGTTTTTGAGACAATAAAGTCTCACGCTTGCGACTCACCGTTTTGTTAATTAATGTTTTTGGCAACCTTATCGCGCATCATTTTGATAAGATCGGCATTACGTATTTTCCCAGTGTCTTTCGTCTATTTTGCCATAACTCCTTCTTGTGGTCTACAAAAATACACACAGTAGTTAACTAAACTAAACATGACTCTATTAACCAAAAACTTACAGTTTTAGGCGAACAGTTCTTGTTCCTAACACTGGCACCAGTATGCTTAGAGGATCAAAGATATACACCCAAATTAACTGATTAAATAACAACTTGATAAAGTGTCAGCTTATCTTCGGATTCCTCAAGGTTTTGACTGAAGAGAACCCATTCAGAAATGGAAATGTTGCGTAACCCCAGCACATCAGATCCTCTACACCTCGTGTGTCTCGCTATCATTTGATTACTATATTTAATAATTAGTATGTTCCTTTTTTCACCAGTGACTGAAATAACACCTGCTTGTGCAGGTGTTTCAGCAACGTTACACTGAGTTCATAGATCCTCAACATTGATTGTCAACACTGGGGCTCGATTGCTCTTGCAGTGTGACCATTGACGAGTAATTAAGACTCTGGTTTTGTGAATACGCTTGAAACAGTTCTGAGGGTGTACCCTATGTGTGATGCACCAAGTGCTGCAATTATTATTTAACAGAAAAATTCAAACTTCATAAATGATGATTTAGGTACCGACTTTTCAATCAAACTAATTATACACATTACCTTCCGATGACTCAAAAAAAACGGAAAGGCATTCATCATTCAAAAGATAAAGAAAATCTTAAGGGACATAAGGAAGATGTAGGTCCTACTTGGTTGTTTGTTCTAACTTTCTCAATTAATTACCACATTCAAGCATTCATAGCATACTAGAGTTTGAGATTCTCCAGCACCTCAAGTTGATGACTTCATGCATGAGTAAGAAAGTTTGGAGAGTTCATTAGCGGTGACCATCCCAACCTTTACCAGTTGTCCCCCATAGACTGCAATAAAGGTAGGGTTCACCAAGTCGGATATAGAATAAATTTGAATTATTAGAGGTTTTAAGTCCGCTTTATTATACATCTACACAAGCTGACGAGACTGTCCAGTGTGAATGTTAAACTTCTGCCAGTTGAAACCGTATATCAGAAAGTAAGTCAAACTGAAAAAATAAATCTTCATCTTTTTTGGCATTATATAGGTGTGAAATGAATTTTTTACGTTAATGTAAGTAAATAACCCTGTAGGTTGACTGAGTAAAATACCGAATACAAGTCAAAAACTATAGCAAGTGTTGAAAGTCAGTAAGTATGCCTATGTTGAATAGGGGAGATTTGATCAATACACCCTGGTTCAGGACTAAAACCTATCTGGCTTTCAAGAATTTGATTCTTCTGATCTCCTCGCATGATCATTGGACCTACTACTTTATATATCGTTATTGAAGCTTATCTTCCTATGAATACAACAGGAAGGCTTGTTTTGACTTATGCAAACTGAGATTTCGCATGATTGAAACCAGTCCAACGAAAACATCCCGAGATTCCCAGGGATTATCTATTGTCTTAGTTAACCTATACAACAGTTCATTACCATTACCTAGACCATCTTTGGAATCAATAAATAATATTGATAAACAGTGCGATGAACTCAACAGTCAAATATCACACTGTTCAAGTTTTTGAATATGCACGAAATGAAGCATGATAAAATACATTACAAAGAAAGTTAAACGTGAGACACCGCAGCTGCGCTGTCACACCATCGGACATTGAAACAGCCATAGTGCTGAAACATAAATTTAACCTTTTAACACAAATCTGTCTTTAACCTAACCTTAACCCCAACATATCACCAACCTAACTCGAACCAAGCTAAATATCTCATTTATTAGATTAATCTTTCCTCAGTCTAAACTTAACTTTAATCTTTACCGAACTTAACCAGATATTCCGTTGCTCTAAATCATAGTGACCTACCGTCATAATGACCCCGGCACATCCTTATTAACCAGTTAGCTGAGTCCATAGTAAAAGCGTGTAATTTAAATTTTCCTTATAGGAATCATGTATAGTGTTAAAAATACAGGGTAGTGTTCATGTGTGTGTCTCGAGAATATCTCCCGATTTCTTAATAGTCTTCAGTGATAGACCTATTATCCAGACAGGACTAAATACTAAGTCTGGATGTAGTGTGCAGTGTATTTCGGGTATTGCATCTATTTCTCCCCGTATTTACTATGGGCCCATTTAATTGATCACGACATCCATACACTTGGGTCGCTATTGTCTACACTAGTCCATATTTTATTGGGCTCTTTTTCAACACAAATACAGTTACTTATTAGGTTTACTAACTGCTTGATCGAGGATTCCAAGGTTGCCGGCGTGCTCGTATCCTTTCGGTGCCTAAATTTTATCTTTGCCAAAAAATGATAAAGTCTATCGCGAGGTGTTTTCTCGCATAGCACAGCAAATGTCACAACATATATTCTAGCTGCTTAAAAGGGCCGAAAGAACTCATTTTTAAACTAGAAAAAACGTAACATTTGATATGATTACAGAATTCTTTTACAAAATAAACTATCTGAGGAAATTCAAACCGTAACTAACCACCATCAAAAGCGCAGCAAGTGTGATTTGAGGTATGTGTCAACATGCCTTAATTTGAAACAACCGCGGAATATTATCCTCCTAAAATAACACACTGATTCCATTCATTCATTCATTCAATGTTATTCATATTTTAGGATTAATATTAAATAAAATAAACAAGGGAAAATTACAGGTTATATGAAGAGTCTGTGATCTTTATAGAAAAAACAGCAAAAAATGTACAAAGAATGGAAGGAAGACACTTTTTTATTGCCATCAAAATGTTGAACGTTGTATCACAAAAGTTTCACCATATACGGACCTTCAAGTTCATAACCAAGTTTTCGATAATAATTTCTAGTGCCAACACCAGAGATGACTGCAATTTTTAATGAACCATGTTCATATTTAGCAATACGTTCAGCCTCTTCCATTAATAATGTTCCAAAACCCTATAAAAAAGTGGAAATTTAAAAAAACAAACAGAATATTAATAAAAACAATGATAAAGTCGTGCGATTAAGAAGTTTCCACAGGACAAAAAAAAGGGAGACTAAAAGCATTCCACATATTAATTCGCCAATAATTCAAAATTTATAAACACCGCCCAGGAATTAGCCTTATATAACTTACTATTGTTTGTTATTTAAAAACTAAAATTCGTACATTATGTACAAACCAAGAGATGCGTCAAACAAAAACAGTTAAACCAAAATAAAATAAGAAAAATATGCATGAAATAAATAAGGGATGTCACCTAGAAAGCAAGTAAGCCCACCTGTCAAGGTCATCCGATATTCATCACTTCATGTTACCTTTAGAAAGAGAAGAAAGAAGAACATCGCGACATATCCGCCATTAATTGAGATATTCGGCTGTATCTGATAAAGCCTCGAGTCATTGATTAGGATACTCTATTTCTCTCTCGGACCCCTACTCAGGGAATCGTGATGCACTAATTGATGCTAACCCAACGAAAAATCTGTATTCCACGGTGCCATATCATAAGCCGGTAACCTCTTCGCTTTTTCTAACCAGTCACAGACCTGGTTAACATTGGCCGAAATGAAAGCCTCTGGGATGATATTCGCAGCACATATCCAAACCACCAAGGTCAGTGTTTCCAGGTGACAATATTCAGGGAAAGGTGACCTTGAATGTGTCTAAGCTCAGACTACCAGATCTTAGAATTACTTAGGATAAAAACAATTGTACAGAGGTAGTGATGGCAGATCGCACAGCGTCGCCAAAGATCCTCAATTTAGAGGTCAGGTTTCACAGGCGTAGAAGAAGACTATGGGTACCGAAGCCCTTTAAGTATTAGATGATTCGATGCATCGGCAGGAAGCTTTTTTTGACCTAGGTTTCATACTAGTTGGCATTCACCAATCGACAAGACGTGTCTGCAACGTTTACAGGAACTTATATGTCCTCGGCAATCTGATACTGCTGTGCTGCAGTCACAGACGTTATCAATGAGCTATTCGGGCCTAGCTGTCGAGTACTCCCTGGTTTTCGATGGTTCTCAAACTGATATCAATCTGTCGGCAAACTTATTTTACCGTTCGGACATTAACTTTTCGTGTATACACTTGTAAAAATTATATTTGTAAAATCTCAGCAAAATTGAAATGAGTGATCCCAACATTTCCTGTGTTCGGAAATCTGGTCCGAACTTCTTCAGGAAAATTAATCCAAATTAACAAAACAGAGGTTTACATACAAAAAAAGGACATCTCTTGATTTTGAAAGCTTTGTCCAATCATATGGGTCATGAAACAGGTATCAACATGTATAACAAATTTGTATGAACTGTGATCAAAATTTGACCTGAGACTTACACAAATTCTTACAAACGTCTACTTCTCACTCGGCGCCTAATTATTTTAGAAATATTCTGACGACATTTCATTTGAATTATATTGTAATCGAATTAAATTAACAAAGAAACTATGTAATTGGTACAATTATCGTGTTTTCAATCCCCTATTGTCTGCAACAAAATGCATATCCTAAATCCGTAGCTGTCAAGTCACGTGACAACTCTAGTAGGTAAATCTTCAGAAAGAAGACAAACCAATAAGTTCGACAGGGTGTTTCAACTAAACTCTAATCCTAAACACCATAATTTTGAAAATACGTCTAATCATAAAATTCTAGATACTAACAGTTTGAACAGACGTGAAGGTGTGATGCTAACTGATGCATGGCAAATCCTGATTCATAAATTAAAAATGGGTATGTATCACTAATTAATCATAGCAGGTCAAAACCCCCAATTGTCTATATCTTCTTATGGAGATGTTAACAAATGTTTTGCAACTGTTTACCCACAAATACACACATAGACACCATTGTATACTGCATATAAACGTTTTAGTCGAAGTTAATCACTAAAATTCTGATGAAGAGTACACTCTGTTTAAGGTGTTTAACAAAAGCAGACTAGGTGCGCCTGTGGCACGGTGGTTAGGACTTTCGCCGACCATGCACATGGTCCGAGTTTCGAACCCCCGCCGACGCACACCTGATATCTATGATCGGCCTGCAAAATTTGGGCTACCGATATCCATGCTGAAAATTCCATACTTGTACCAAAAATACAGTGTGGAATCAAGCTGTAAATCAAAAATATAAAAAAATATAAATTTTGAAAGTCTGAGGTCAAATTTTGATCACAACTCAAACGATTTTGTTTATTATACAAGTTGATGTCTGTTTCATGACCCATATGATGAGTTTTTATAAACAAAAGATGTCCCCTCTTATACATACACCTCTGTTGTTTTAATTTGGATTAATTTTCCTGAAGAAGTTTGGACCAGTTTGCCGAACTCAGGAAATGTTGGAATTACGCATTTGAATTTCGCTGACATTTTACAAATGTCTACTTTTTCACTCAGTGCCCAATTATTTTAGAATTATTCTGTCAAATCTTGACCACACTTCATATGAACTTTTATGCGCAAGATGTATACGTGTCATTTCTAAACAATGTTTATTAATTTAGAGTCTTCTCTTGACTAACATCATATCATGCAAGAAAGTACATTGAAACTGCAATGTACATATACTCAGCAACTTTTGTAACAATGTATACGTCTGACGAGAAGCCAAAAACATAGAGATAATAATATCATCTTATTCTACACAAACCGTTGTTCTGCCTAACAATATTCTCCACAATAAAGTGAAAATCAGCAAAAAATATTCTTATAATCGCAAAAATAAACGTGATGAAGCAAGTTGGTTTGAACCCCGTACGCGGATTGGTACTGCTGAAGAGTTATAAACTAGAACGAAATCGCTGTCCAGTACTCCTAGGTTTTCCATCCAATGGCTCTCTAACTGGTTTCAAGTCGTGATCAAACATGTAATCAATCGAATCGCGACAAACCAACACTTTTGAATAATAACAAGCTTTATCTATTCAATTGGCAAGAAAGATGACTATTCAGCAAGGATAACTACGGGGATAAAACCTAATAATTTGCGATTGACTGCCCAAATGTCTAGTTTTATAAGTGAAGTCCAACGACAACCTCTATCTAGTCAGTATCAATTTCAATTTTATTTACAAGGACGCATTTCTCAAAATCATTACAATGTATATTTAAATACAGTTTTCGACCAGTCAAGAAGTTAACAACTACTGTTCCGCCCAATTAACTCATGTCGGTAAAAAAAAAACCAAACAAACAAAAAACAACAACGTCAAAACCTTTAAAACAATAAAATTGACAAATATGTCAAGTTTTGTTTGTTCCATGTTGCTTAAATTGATCGTTTAATATACCTCGGTGTGTATTCAAGATAAAAGAAAAGCAAGTGACAGGATAATCAATAAAAAAATTCTTATGCACTGTCGTCAAGATTTGACAGAATTGTTTTAAAATATTTGGGCGCCGAGTGAGAAGTAGACATTTGTAAAAAAAAATTATATTTTTAAAATCTCAGCGAGATTGAAATGAGTAATTCCAACATTCCCTCAGTTCGGAAATCTGGTCCGAACTTCTTCAGGAAAGTAAATCAAAATTAACGTAACAAAGATTTATATCACAAAAAAGACATCTCTTGCTTTTAAAAACTTTGTCCAATCATATAGGTCATGAAACAGGTATCAACATGTATAATTAACAAAATTGTATGAAGTGTGATCAAAATTTGATCTCGGACTTACAAATATTGGTCTATCTTTGTTAAACACTTTAAAGAGAGTGTGCATGCGTGTGTGGGTTAACAGTTGTAAAACACTTCTTAACGTATCCATAAGAGTGGAGTATGGCAACTCGAAATGCTATACGTCTGTGCAAAGTTCTACGTTAAAACCAGTCAACCAGTCAGTATGTTATCGTCAATAGTTCCATTACTATTTTACCTTTTTCCTGTGAGATTTTCTCACTTTCTGAATGAATTTTATGGCATAGTCATATAACATCGATGCTTCTCCTATATGCTTCATTTCAAATATATAGGCTTTCTGATGTACTTCTAAGAGTTCTTCCTTGGTTTCTGAGGCATTTAACTAAGCTTTTCTTTACAGATGGTGCATGGCATGACTTAAAGTCTAAGTGTCTACTACAGTATATTGGCTTTTTATAAACAATAGTGCAAAATTTACCTTCTCCTGGTCGCTATATTTTACAATCTAACGTAGTCGAATTCTCCTTGTTCATATTCTGATTTAAATGTAAGTTTGATCCCATCTACTATTAAGTTTATAAGTATGAAGAGATTAGAGATATATAGTCTGTTTTTAACACTATGAAAGTGTCAGTCACACACATTTTTTAACGACATCTTTGAAGTAGGATTACATATATTAGGAGCTATATTTACCCAGCTATCCATAAAGATATTTGCTACAATTGGGGACATTGGTGATTTCATCACAACCCATTCTGTTTCTCTATACATGTTGCCCTGAAATTTCAAGACAGGATATGTGAGGCATAATTGAATTCGGAGAATAATTTCCCCAGTAGGTAGCTTTCTTCTAGGAGTTAGTTCTTTTCCGGATGCTTTCAAAGCAATATTAATTGGAATATTAGTGTTAAAAGACTAATTCTACCAGAACCAAGCACTTTTTCCATTAACGTCTATTCAAATGTCATTTAACTTCTTTTTTAATTTTATAGGAATTCCTTAATCTAGAGTTTGAACGATTTCTGATGAATCATTATATCAACTGTAAGTGTTTAGATCATTCATTTAAATAGGGTTATTTCTAAAACCAATATTTCCAACACGTTGCAAACCTTTATCAACAACTGTCTTCTCTCTATACTGAAGATCAGATGGCCGGCCGGGCCGGAAAGAATCACCAACAAGAAACTATGGGAACAAACAAAACAAGAACCAATCGCCCAACAAATATTATGCAGGAGAAAGTGGAGATGGATTGGACACTCACTGAGGAGGCCGCCTCTGGGTGACATCGCGCGAGCGTCAAACCATTGCTAGAGTGGAACCAGGCCGAAAGGGAAGCGGCGAGTGGGTCGTCAGTGCAGGGTGACATGGAGGAGATCGTGTGAAGAGAAGTTGAAAAGGTTTGGACTAACAAGGATGCAGGTGAAAAGTACAGCAGAAGGAAGACAGAAGTGGCAAGTTGAGACGTGTAGTTGAAGCCCTATGTTTCACTAGGAACCCAAGGGAACAATAATAATAATATAAATAGGGTTATTTCTAAAGTCAGTTGCTCGTAAAATAGCTACAATCGAAGATCAAGCGATCGCCTTCCTCGTTGAGTAATGTTAACTAACATCAGATTAGTTTTTGAAAATACTTAGAGGTGGTCAAATCAAGCCTTTGACACAATTGGTTAAGGCCGCACAGGGAGGTGAAGCTTACCAGGTCGGAATCCATGAAACTCCGAGAACAAACAGTTTGAGACTGTTGGTGATAAGGGTTTAAAATCGTACTCATCAATAGCTCAGATCAATTCACTACTTATAACCTCAGAGGTCCGTTTAGTTCTAAACTTTGTTCATGTAATTATTAGAAAGAAGAGAACACGAAGTTCAGCAAAGATATCTTTTCGGCGATTTCATTCTCAAAAGCTGTTCAATCGCATTTATATAGATTATTTTAACATGGATAGAATTATTATTTGTTTAATTTCACATAGTAACGAAGGTGATAATAATTTTCAACTTGACATGTTAGTTAGGAGGTATGAATATAGACAGATTACAAGAGGCATAGAAACAAAAATTACACAGGATTAGAATATAATTGTAGAATAGTTATTCTAAACGGATTACAAGTGTGATCAGGAGGAGTATGGAAACAAAATTAAAATAACTAGTTTTTTTAACTGAAAAAATAATTTGAGCCTGAAATGAATGTTAGGACGTGTGAATATAGATTACAAAAGCCTTAGAAACACAAAAATTGCACAATATTAAGATATAATTGTAAAATAGTTATTTCAAACGATTTATAAATGTGAACAGGGAAAGCATGGAAACAAACTTAAAATAACTGTTTTTATAGCTGAAAAAAAAAATTAGGTGGATTAAACGAAGATTGAGGGACTAAGAATCAGACACACAGCGAACGAAAAATGCTCTAAAGGGAAAAAACAAGAACGAAAACAGACGAGGAAGAGAAAAAAAGACAAAAACAAAGGGAACATACCAAGCTAGGTCCATGGTAGTTGTAGAGGTTGGACTAACTTCTTTTGAACACACAGCTCCGGCTTCTCGATGCATATTGCGAGGGCTTTTGCAGTACAAAGAAGTCAGAAACATATTGCTTTTGGTAGGTTTCTGTTGACTTTGTAAATCACTTTGAAAGAATCGGTTGAGATTTTGTGGGAGGTGTTGACCAGATGTTCAATGATGGCACTTCTGATTGAACCGGTGCCTCCTCGTTGCAGCCACGCTGGGTAGTGTTCTCTAACACGTTTTGAGAGGACGCGCATACACTAAGAGTGACATTCTCTAGCCGCCCAATACTTCGAAACAACACGAAGGACAAACTTTCGCATATGACCAATTCAATGTGCATATACCAGTTCACTTGCTCGTGCGGAGCTAGGTACATAGGTCGTTGTATGCGCGTCCTCTCAAAACGTGTTAGAGAACACTACCCAGCGTGGCTGCAACGAGGAGGCACCGGTTCAATCAGAAGTGCCATCATTGAACATCTGGTCAACACCTCCCACAAAATCTCAACCGATTCTTTCAAAGTGATTTACAAAGTCAACAGAAACCTACCAAAAGCAATATGTTTCTGACTTCTTTGTACTGCAAAAGCCCTCGCAATATGCATCGAGAAGCCGGAGCTGTGTGTTCAAAAGAAGTTAGTCCAACCTCTACAACTACCATGGACCTAGCTTGGTATGTTCCCTTTGTTTTTGTCTTTTTTTCTCTTCCTCGTCTGTTTTCGTTCTTGTTTTTTCCCTTTAGAGCATTTTTCGTTCGCTGTGTGTCTGATTCTTAGTCCCTCAATCTTCGTTTAATCCACCTAATTTTTTTTTCAGCTATAAAAACAGTTATTTTAAGTTTGTTTCCATGCTTTCCCTGTTCACATTTATAAATCGTTTGAAATAACTATTTTACAATTATATCTTAATATTGTGCAATTTTTGTGTTTCTAAGGCTTTTGTAATCTATATTCACACGTCCTAACATTCATTTCAGGCTCAAATTATTTTTTCAGTTAAAAAAACTAGTTATTTTAATTTTGTTTCCATACTCCTCCTGATCACACTTGTAATCCGTTTAGAATAACTATTCTACAATTATATTCTAATCCTGTGTAATTTTTGTTTCTATGCCTCTTGTAATCTGTCTATATTCATACCTCCTAACTAACATGTCAAGTTGAAAATTATTATCACCTTCGTTACTATGTGAAATTAAACAAATAATAATTCTATCCATGTTAAAATAATCTATATAAATGCGATTGAACAGCTTTTGAGAATGAAATCGCCGAAAAGATATCTTTGCTGAACTTCGTGTTCTCTTCTTTCTAATGTCCATATGGGTATTTTCCAAGAACATGTAATTATTCTCTCTTCGCTACATTTCACTTAGTATAGCTCTTTCGAATGGCTCAACCTATTTGTCTACCTGTGTCCGGCACAGAGAGTTTGGCAAGTTGAACTATTGCACTTCCGTACAGAGTTCTACGTTGAAAAATAAAACTCCGTCAGTCAGCCTGAGTCAGTCTACGACAAAAACAACAATTCCCATCAGTCAGTAATACACACACACACACATACACACTTATAATCAACAAAGCTTACTTGATTTTATTTGGTGGATGGTAACTAGCAGTGGAATCCAGGATGCGCATTTCGTCCTATTTAAGACTCATCATCCAGATGTACCTGTATTTCCCAGTGAGTGATGATGTCCTCACCGAGTCTCAGTGGGAACATCGTCACTGCCAGTCACCATCCACCAATTAAATTCTAATTACATTCCCAGACATCGTCGAAGCATCTGCACAAGAAGCCAACAGACATGTCAACCTGACACCGAGCACTTCATTCGAATCAATCAAAGGAAAATCTAAAATTCAATTAAAGCTTACTTGATGTTGAAATTTTGTCGGATCTCTAGCTGATACTGGGACAGCACTACCGTATACATGTAATTCACGTACAATTGAACATAATGGATCTGTATTACATTGATCGCCAGAAGCTGTGGTATTAGTAGGGCGTGTAACACGTAATTCTGGTCTGAATGTTTGTGGTGAACATTTACGTAAACGTAACAGACCAACTAAAATATCCTGATAAGGATCTTCATAGGCTAAAAATGTTTCCCAGCCACCATTAGCAACATAATCACGACGTATAAGTTCAACCTATTCAAATAAAAATATTATTTTTTTTTAATTTCTTATAAAACAATATCAATTTAAAGTTAATCAATGACTGTCTTATTCAAAAGTAATGTAGGAATTTTTAGAGAGGAAAAAAGACTCAACGACAGATACTTACTGATGGTACATATCAGGAACTGGTAGAAATCAAAATGAATTCAGACCCAATAACTGAATTGCCAACTGACTGGCCTCTTAACTTGAAGGTTATGGGGGTTCAACCACCGCCCCCCCGGTGGTAGGATCATGGATAGGTACTACTGAAGAGTAGCAAACCAGTAAGAAACAACAGTCCAGTACTCATTCCATAGTTTTCACTTCCTCCATTGCTGATTTATCATATTGTGAGAACACTTAAGAACATTTTAATCAAGTTGTGGTTCATTAATCTAGATACTGGAATTCCAACTAGCGGAAAAACGCGTGCGAAACCTACTCCGCCTATTGAGGTTCAGGGTATCCTCAGGGGCGGATGTATGAACATATATCACATGATGGATTTCGCTTATCACAAACTTTATAGAATCGCAAGTAAAATCATATTAATTAAACAGACAAAGCTATCAGGGAATGTATATTAGAGTGAACTATTAAAATTTTCACTAATATGTCATTTATTTATTCTCTTCATTGAACATTATCATTATCCGTTGTTGTTTTCATGGTGTGTTTCTTCTCCTTTGAATGTACACTTTCGAAATTTAATCCTAAAGATGCTAAGAACTAGGAGCTGATGACTGAATTTCTACGGCGGTTTGTTTAAGCCATTGCGCTACCAGAATTTCAATATAACAAAATGCTTAAACTCGGTTTGTATTTCATATTGTTTTAATCATACAATTATATTAATCAAATGTGCGGACAATTTGAATTTGCGCGCATTTTTAATTAGCTTTCAACAAAACACTGTACAGTTCTTGAAGGGAATGAAGAAAAAAATGTACAGAATTGATTCTCTCCACCACGTCACATTGATATACTTCAGATTATTACTTTACATGTATTTTGGAACTACACTCTGGAAATTTCATTTATATATATATATATATATATATATATATATATATATATATATATAATGGGATCAACCATATCGGGATCAATAGCTGAAGCCGTCATGCAAAGATTAGAATTGATAGCTCTACCTATAATTGTACCGAAAATCTCGGTACGTTACACTTATGATACATTTGTAATAATTAGGAGAAATGATTTAGAATATACCCATAAATTAATAAACAACGTATTTGAAGACATCAAATTCACAATGAGAGAAGAAGAATTAGATAACAAAATCCCATTTTTAGATGTCTTAACCAGGAGAACCAACACAGGAAATTTAGAAACACAAGTATATAGATAAATCAACGCACACAGATCAAATACTCAACTATACTAGCAATAATCCAATTACCCACAAAAGAAACTGTGTGCAAACATTGTTTAAAAGAATTCAAACATACTGTAGCACTCCAGAGTTGAAAGGAATGGAAGGGAAATACCTACATACGGTCTTCAAAAAGAATGGTTATCCACAAACATTCATCAAAAAGTGTTTAAAGTTGAATCACAACACCAACAAGGAACCATCATCAAAGACCACAAGAAAATTCATCTTACCATACATGAAAAATATCTCTGAAATAACAACTAGAATACTGAAACCGTTTGATATAGATATAGCACACAAGCCAGTCAAATCGCTTAATTCGATATTATGCAGACTGAAAGATCCAACAGAAAAAGGAGATAAAATTAATACCAGTTACAAAATAAGTTGTATGAGCTGTAACAGACATTACATTGGCCAGAGTGGGAGTCCCCTTCGAATTAGAATCCAAGAACACGAATCAGCCGTGAAAAGACACGATATATATTCCTCTTTCATATCAATGCATATAGACAACTATGGACATCAGTTTGATTGTGGATAATGTCGAAATCTTAGACAAAGGAAACACCAAAAGTGACAGGGAATTCCTAGAAGCCTGGTAATCAAACCAGTATGCAGTTAACAAACACGTTAATATAGACCAAATATGACCAGAAAGTTTAAAATCCAAGTCAACAGAAAATGATCAATGCATATGTAAAGATGGTTACCGGGAGATGCAATTATATCACTCATGAAGAAATTTAAGTCATTTCACTTTATTCTAAATATTGCGTTGAAGATGTTGTCCAGAAGGACGACGAAAGCTTCGCAACTAAACCAACCAGCTCAGAAAACACTATTAATTATATATATATATATATATGCTCACATTTTCTTTGAAATAAAGCTTTATTGTTAATTAATACTATAATCGTTTTCAGTCACGAAGATGCAACTGAGAAGCATGAGCAACCCTCATGCAATATGTGGCTCATTAGTCAACTGAGCATAGAGACACAAATGAGACTGTTCAGTAACCCCTTTTCATTTTCACTTCAAGTGCTTATATAGTGAGTGTGATTGGGAGAAAAAGACACTAACGTATCATGCATTCTTCACATGACGGTTGGACAATGCCAGTATAGTGCGACTACAATGCGAAATTGTCATGTGGTTAGTAGTAGCACCTGGCTCTCATATCTCAGCTGTAATAGGACATCAGACTAGTTAATTAAGAATTAGCCGGGTGGAATCCTGCAGCGAACATGACTTTCACCCCACGTTCGATTGTTATTCACTACTTAGACATTACACACTCTTTTCCCTTTATTGTTGCTCACTGTACAGGTTGATTTGAAGAGTACGTGTTTGTGAGACACAGTGGGAGGGGGTCTATTAAACTATCAACCATGAAAGATTTACTGTTGTACATTACCCCACCACCACCACCACCATCGAAGACAAAAACAAAACATATCAAAATACATGAAACATGCTACTATCCATTGACAACAACAATAAAATCAATAATTCATACTTGATATGGTTTAACACGTGAATGTATCTCTTGTATGCCAACTTCACGAGTTCGTACATCTCTACATGTGGCGCCTAATTCTTCCATTCTAGCTAAAACAAGTTCACGTAGATTACCGTGTTCAACACCACTAGTAACTAATGGCATAGGTATATCTCTGAAGGCATATAAATTAAAAAAATAGATATGTGGATACGTTAAAGTGTTAATTCCATACATATAAAATCAAATAGTTATGATATTTACGCATGCAAACATACACACACACGCACAGAAACAGATACACAAAGTATAACTTACGAATTAAGGGACATTTATCATTATTTGATCCTTTTACGTACCATGTGGAACATGAGGATTCAAGCTTTGAACATTGAAGCTTCACTAGCAGTACTGTTTTTAATTACTACGGGGCTGAGTTACCAGCCTCAGGTCCAACTTTTCCTCTTTATCGGGCGCATTACTGGCTTCGGCGAAGCTTAAGAGTGCTTCAGCTTGGAATCGAAACCTGAATCATGTGTGGAGCCGTTGGTGAGCATTCTACTGCTTAATCACAGATGCACTTTAGAGACATTTACTGAATGAAAAACTTGAATATTAGGACTGTAAGAGTTGATGATGATGAAACAGGCATAAAATGGACCCTAACGAAAAACTTGGCGGATCTGGACTTCGCCAGATGTCTGATTTCCCACAAATTGGAAGATATGCAAGTGAAAAGCAACAAGCTGGCAGATGAAGCATCAAAGATAGGACTTCAAGTGAACATACACAAAAACAGAGGTGATGAAGATTCCTGGCCAACACCAACACCAACAACAGACAACAATCAGCCAGCGTAAATGGGAGGAACCTGAAAGAAACAACCTCCTTCACCTACCTTAGAAGCATCGTTTCAACTACAGGCGAACGGAGCTGACGAGAATATCAAAGCAAGGATCGGGAAAGCAAGACAAGCTTTCATTACTCTCAAGTCTGTGTGGAGGTCAACAGCACTCAGCATCAAAAATAAGATCCGGATTTTCAACTCCAATGTGAAGTCAGTGCTACTTTACGGATTAGAGACTTAGCGCATCACGAAGGGCACTTCGAACAAACTACAGGCCTTCATTAATAGCTGTCTACACTCAATACTACTCAAGATCAGATGATCGGTCAGAAAAGATCAGCAACACGGATCTCTGGCAATGAGAGAACCAACCAGGAACCGATTGTACAACAAATATACAGGAAAAAATGGAGGTGGATCGGTCATACTCTGAGGAAACCATCAAGTGACATCGCTAGACAAGCCATCGCTCGAGTGGAACCCGAAAGGGAAGCGGCGAGTTGGTCTTCAGTGCAAGTGTGACTTGGAGGAGGTCATTCGAAGAGGAGATGAGAGCATGTGGGCAGACTTGGAGTGGGGTGAAAAAGTTGGCAGAAAACAGAACGCAATGGAGACGCGCGGCTGAAGCCCTATGTTCCCCTAGAAATTAAAGGAAATAATAATATGAGTTGATGATACTACCCAATTGTCAAGGAAGAAGTAAATGAGAAGGGACTCGAGGCTGGGACTCATTACAGCTGAAAGTCAAGCTTTAAGTCAGTGAATACACTTAACTTTAACGCAAAGTTGCCCAACAATTATGTGCAGTTACGCAAATGAGCCCATAATGTATACAACATGACTGTCAAAACCTTGTTAGATGGATTGCATTTAGAGTCAGCGACTACCAAAGGGCTGGAAATTACAAGGCTTAAAAACCTGGAACATACATCAAATGGCTGTGAAGAGGACGAAAAGAAATACTATATCACATAAACAGTGGAATGGAATGCATTCATTATGGAGCTATACATAATTAGTGTAAGCATTCTAAGTTCAGAAAGAATGGATCCAGATTCATCTTCCAAGGTAATATCACTACCATTTACACACCATAGGTGTAGCTCTTTGCCAGTACTCACAGTAAAAACAATTACCATTATAGTATAAGTAATTTACAATATGCTGGGAGTGTGTAGACGAAGTTGTATTGCTGAAGAATAGGAGTGCCATAGTAGTAAAGTGTTTCCCTCAAATGATCAGAAAGTCAACCAAACTACATGTCCGTTCCTGCGAGTTAGGGGTTAAGTAAGATTGTTATTATTATTGTTCCCTTGAGTTCCTAGTGAAACATAGGGCTTCAACTGCACGTCTCAACTTGCCACTTCTGTATTCCTTCTGCTGTACTTTTCACCTGAATCCATGTTAGTCCATACTCTTTCAACTTCTCTTCACACGATCTCCTCCATGTCACCCTGCACTGACGACCCACTCGCCGCTTCCCTTTCGGCCTGGTTCCACTCGAGCAATGGTTTGACGCTCGCGCGATGTCACCCAGCGGCGGCCTCCTCAGTGAGTGTCCAATCCATCTCCACTTTCTCCTGCATAATATTTGTTGGGCGATTGGTTCTTGTTTTGTTTGTTCCCATAGTTTCTTGTTGGTGATTCTTTCCGGCCCGGCCGGTCATCTGATCTTCAGTATAGAGAGAAGACAGTTGTTAATAAAGGTCTGCAGCAGGCTGTTGGAAATATTCTTTGTGACCCGCCAAGTTTCTAAACTGAGTGACTTGACGTTTGTATTGAAAATCCGACTGAATTTTGTTGTTGATCCTGGCTGAGTGACGAAGATTTACAGATTGGTTTCAGGTTGATGAATGTGTTTCTCGCCTTCCCGATTCTCGCTCGATTTAACATCCTCGTCCGTTCCTCCTGTAGTTGAGACAATGCTCCCTAGATAAGTGAATGAAGTAACCTCTTTCAAATCCCTGGTAAGATGGACTCCGAATATAGTAAACCGCCCAACTTACCTTGCGATAGTCGATAGCCATATACAACTCCAAAAATCCACCTCATACAGGTAGCTATCTATCCTCTGGGCTATGCAGACACGTAGCAGTAATACTTCTACTTTAAGTACTTCAGGAACAATTCAACTTCGATGGTGTGTGAAGCAGTGAATTTAATAACCACCTACAAACTTTCATAAACACAGAAACCTTCCTATCTATTACTTTCATCATCCTGCTTTCCTACTACTGTTATTACTATTATTCCGCAGACAGGTCCCTCAACTCCTATCAACTCTGTGATAGTCTCCTAAAGCCATTCTGTCAGCTTCAGATTGGAACATTTATGAAGTGTGGCAACTTGAACTGCTGCACTTCTGTACAATGTTCCACGTTGAAACTCAGTCAGCCAGTCAATCAATCATTAATAATAATAAAATCATGATTTACCTTTGAATTCGATAAACTCTAGTCCATGGTGGAACTAAAGCTAAAATTCTTGCAATTAAATCAATCAACATTCCAGGTGGATAACTTCGATACCGACCAGTACGCCAGAGTTCGTATAGACCAGTCCCTCGGATAACAAGTGTTGGATAAATTTTTAAACCATCTGATCGAAAAGCTGGATTTTCAAAGTATTCGGCGAATTGGGCTAAATCTCTTTCCAGCCAACATTTGGTAAATCAGGCATCATATGTGCAACCACCTTGAATCCAGCATCTTTAGACATATGAAATGATTCACACACCGCTTTGACAGTATGACCTCTGTGTGTAAAGTGTAGAAGAATGAGAGAGGAATTACACAAATCACATAAAGATTACATAAAATTTAAAAACACGACACACCTTGTATTTCTTCATTGATGAAGTAGGGAGAGAAAAAATGATGCACATTTATCCCTCGAATCCTGTTCTTCAAATACCACTAAAATTCTTCGATGGAATGTATGAAATTAAAAAGCACTTGACTGTGTGATGAATGCAGTTCGATGACGACAACTGTCTGTAAGAACTGCTTTTATTTGTGTGGTGATGTGTTGATGTTGTTGTTGGTGATGATGTCACTAGATGTCGTCCTCATCAAGAAATATCAGTTGACATACGGTTAGGTTGCTCACTAGCGACTGGCCCTATTCAAGTAGGTACTTACCTGGGGTTCTAGTTGGAAGGCGTGATCAGTAGGGTACAGCAGGTTGAAAGTGTGGCAGTAACTCATCAAAGAAGACATTGTGAAATGGTCGCGCTATGTCATGAATTGGCAGAAGTTAGAATTCATGGGCTGGCTACCGGATCGGGCCCCAGTGGCTGAATGGTATACGAGCTTGCCTTGTGATCAGAAGGTCTTAGATTTGAACCCCAATGGTGAGTGCGTACTGGTGAAGAGTCTCAAACTAGAACGAAACAGTTGTCCAGTACTCTCAACTCTTTCAATGGTTCTCAAACTGATGTCAGTTCATGGAGAGATCCGCCAACCAATCAAAACAAAATCCCAACAAAATCAATACTTGAAAATCCCGAAGTTCTTTGACAGTTGGTTTAGGATATGTATGCAGACGTAGAATGCTTGGTTGGGCGATCATTGGGATGCTATGAATCACTCAGACTGCAAACTCCTGATTATATGTCTCAAAATCTTAGTCAGTGGTCGAGATGAACATTCCATATCTATCAAATCTTTGTGTTCTTCTATGTTAGTGTTCTTTCTACCTACCATATCTATGCGTTCTAGTACTGTTAAATCTCTTTCCACTCCACCTTCTTTTCTCTACATTTGGGTGCCACATGAATTCTAGCAAGTTAGACTGCTGGCATTCCTGTGAACCAGTCAGTCAGTTAGAAGTTGGGTTCTTGGTATTGTGATACACATCTACTACGTTTAGGGATGACATTTGCACAGCTATTTGTGCACGTTATATCCATATTAGTGGAATAATTCATTCAAATAACGTCATTTTTACCGTATGGCTAGTCTAAATGATCATTCAGTTCGACGTTCGTTTGAGGCAGCATACTTTATTGTAGTCTAACTTTAATTTAAAGCTATACAACCGCATATATTTTGAGTGAAAGTGGCAGTTATCAAGTGTATGGCGGCTGAGTCTAGATATATGAAATGCCTGGCAGGAGATAAGATCGATATAGATAAAATACAGTAATGATTATCAAAGTAAGTAACAGATATTAAGTGACACGAAGAGTGTTAAGTACTTTCAAAAATAAATTAAAATTTTTACAGAGCACGCCTCTAAATAGGAAAGGAAACGTCTATATGTCTTAAGCTTTCCAAGATCTACTCTAAGGATTTGATCAATAAATGAACTCAAAACGATGAATATTTTCATTGTGCTTTGAAATTTCTCTGTAACAATTTAGTAAACTTGGAGATTTTTTTATGAACCAATTCTCAAGGGGTAATGCAATACGAGGCTGACACGTAGACGGAGTTCTCTATAATAGTTCAGAGACTTGAAACGTCACGAAAAGGCATTTCCGACAGCCAGTTGGAGAGTCTCATCAACAGCTACCCCAGTCACACATATCGAAGATTAAATTAAAGATTAGCAACAAGGAACTCTGAGAATGAACCAACCAACGACCGATTCACCAACAAAATGCCGAAGGAAATGAAGTTGGATCGGATACACACTGAGAAGATCGTTGAGTGACATCACGTGTCACACCCTGTAGTGGAACTAAAATGGGAAATAGTGAGTTGTTTGTACTAAGGTGATATGCAATAGTCCGTGTGAAGAGGAGATGAGAGCTAATGGGCAACCGTGGAGCCAGCTAATGAGAACTGCAGGAGGAAGAGACAAAATGAAGTAAGGGCATACTGTTGAAGCCATATAGTTCCACTCGGAACACAAGCGAATTACATCAATAATAATAAGATAATGAATATCTACAAGAAAATTCATCGGTAAAAACCATTCAGCAACAAATCACTACTACACGCCAAATTATAATCGCTATATTATTTTATTAAAAACACACATAAAGGTAGGAAAATAGATAAAAAGAAATGCACAGAAATGGTATGAGAGAAAACAGAAATTAACTTGTATCCTGCAACAAAACTTTAATTCAACAAAATATACTACTATTAAATGAAATAAGTAACATGTTATGTAAACGCGATATTTTAGAAATCAGGACTCAGGACACCTGACAGAAAGATTTATGAACTCAGTAAATGTGAAACTACCATAGACTATAATCCAAGTGGATTTAGTCCTAGGGGTTGAATGGTCAATGGAATCGCCTTGTCACCTGAAAGTCTCTGGTCTAATCCCCGAAGGGGTGTTGGATATACATACTGCTAAAGAGTCACAAACTAAGATGAAACAACTGTTTCATACTCCCTGGTTATTCCATTCGTGATAAAACGTGAACCAGTCAAATTTCTGCCGGCAAGTGATTGACTACAGTGCGAAGTTACCTGCACTTCTATTGAGAAGTCGTGACCAGTCGAGAGTGCAGCGGAATAATCGTCAATAACACCAGCTGGTGGTGGTTGCACAAAAATCATGTATTGTTAGATGTTAGAATTCATGGGTGATTGAGTCGGGTCCCAGCGGCTACATGGTCTATGAGCTTGACTTATAACTGGAAGGTCCTGGGTTCGAACCCCAGTGGATGGGTACAGTCAATGAGTCCTACACATTAGGAGGGAACAACTGTCTAGTAACCATGGTGACTGATGTCAACCCGTGGTCAAACCTGGAACAAATCTCACCTTTATAAACCAACACTTGTGAACAATAAACATTGAGAATAATTTTAAAACGTTTAGAATAAATTAAAAAAATTTCTTATCACGCCACAACACAGCGACATGTGAATAGTGTATTTAAGGAAAAGTAAGGCAACTGTGAAGAAAATTCAAAACAAAACACCTACGGTGAACAAATCAGACTAACACACATACACACCTACATCTTATCCCCACAATCTTAACCTACTGTTTTTAAAGTTTATAGTTGGACGGTAAAAAAGGTGAGAAGATAATTTCAGACACAAAAAAACAATGAGAATTTCTGTAGATATAAAGAAAATCAAATAGGAATCAATAACATGTGTTTAACATCAATGACGCAGACACTAATGTCTGTTAACTGAAGAGTAGTAACCACTGCCATAAAGTCTGACCTTCAGTGATGATGCAAACTAAATCTTATCTAGAAGGCTTCCCAATGACCACCTTACCCCCCCCAACCCCTAACGACTGAACATCGATTCAAAGTGACTTATTGAGATGATAAGCCACCCCTTTTACTTGTTGACCAAATTTGAAACTTGACTTTGGTGAGGTTCAGTCAACATCTACACAAAGAACTGCATACATGACATCGGTTACTCTCCTAAGTGAACAATCAATCCATCCAATCGAGTCCTACAGAATATCAATCTTGATAAGTCGGAAAAACCCAGTGGTAACGTCTCTAACTTCAGCATTCTTGTGACGCTGATTCAAATGGTGAAGATGACATCGTTCCTTTCGCTGTTGTAGAAAGGTCTTCTGTTAACTATCTATAACTACTAAACACTTCAAGTGGCAGTAGTATATTGATTCAAGAAAGAGTATCTAAAATAATACGTCAGAAGGAAAGACAGCTGCTAACTCGAGCGACAGGTGCTACCTAGACCTGGTGGTTGAACTTGCATATTGCAATGACTCAACAAGCTACACTGACTGGAACTATTGTTTCTACAGGTCCTACTATGCCAGGAAGATTGTTAAGGATAGCGATAAGACTGAAAGCAGTTAACGATAAAGTGTAAGAATTTTTTACACTATGGGGGGGTGGTCTGTGGGCAAAGTCGTACTGCTAGGGAACAGGGATGTAACAGCAGACTACCAGCATTCCAGCTATGTTGTCTCTCCACTCTGGAAAGAAGGGGTTAGAAAAGATCTACCCCAACAATTGTACATTCCGACTTACCCTACGGTGATCTATAACTGGTACCAAGTTACCAATAGGGGACCGATCCAAGAAACCCGTTCATACAGGCCATGTGTGACCGGCTTCCAGTACTTGTCCCCTGAGCTCTGCGGTCACGCAACACTAACTCTCTTCCTGTTCCAGGTACCCGAAGAAAAAATAAAGTTCCACAATGTGGGTAGCTTGGAATTAACAACCGCCGATACACTTCCAAAAGCACACGAAGCCCTTCTGAGCTTCATTCTCCTGGCCAAGTTAAACTTTCGACACCACTAACTACCAATCAGAGAATTATCCAATGAGGTTCACGAACATAGTTCAATGTCATATGGCGCTTGATTCATTTCAAATGCGTGCCCTTAAAAGGTTACGGTTGCAACTCGAGGAGGATAGTGTTTTCCAGTATTGTCTGGATTTAGGGTTGCTCCGGAAGGAGCGAACTTGTCCGTGTAGTGGTATCATGACTTTAAAAAGCTATAGCAGGTCAATTGATGGATTTGTTCATCGTTGTGGTATATGTTTGAAGCGTGCTAGTATTAGAGAGGGTAAGCTGATTATTTTAATATTTCGTAGGAACTTTTTTCGCCAGGTCTCATCTCTCCCTAACGCAAACTTTATATATCTGCAACTACTGGGTGCTAAAACAGCCAGTGAGAGCAGCAGCAGCCGAGACGGAGAATAGCCTGGTCTCAACAGTCCAGTGGTACCAGCATTGCAGAGATATTGCTTCTTGGAAAATGGAGAAAATCACTTGTTTGCTGGGTGGAGAAGACGTTATCGTGCATGTCGATGAAACAGTGCTGGTAAAAAAGAAATACAACCGTGGTCGTTAGCGGGCGAACAATATTTGGGTAATAGGTTTGTATGACACCTCCCTCCGAAAGGGATTCGTGGAAAGAATACCAGATAGAAAGGCGACTACTCTAATACCTATTATTACCAGACTTGTAAAACAGGGATCAATAATACACACGGACGAATGGAAAGGTTACAATTCGCTGTCATCTTTGGGATATATTCATCATAGAGTCAACCATTCAAGTGATTTTGTGGATCCCATTACGAGGACACATACGAATTCTATTGAAGGATTTTGGGGCAGGTTGAAAAATAGGATAAGGGCCATAAATGGATCTCAAAAGGATCTCATTTATAGTCATTTGGATGAATATATGTACAGGGTATGGTGTAACTTCTCCATTGACAGTCCCATGCTAAACGGAGAGATGTTTCTCTCACATGTTCGATAAAGATATCCCATGTAACTTTTTTATTATCTATTTTATGCTTTTTTCTATAAATATACATTTCTATTCACCATATATACCTCTTTAATGTGATTGGTCCATTCAAGGTCGTTTGCTGTCTGGTTGTTAGTGGTGTCTAAAGTTTAACTTTGCCATTCTCCTTTATCTAGAAGTGATAAGCTGGTCAGCAAAAATTCATTATTAGTAAGACATCAACTGACATGGTTGACTATACTACCGATCGACTGATACTGCTCACATCAACCAGTAGTATTTTTAAGCCATATTTAAAAAGTCTAAACACTGGATGACCGTTCAACTTATTCAAGAATCGAGCTTATCAGTGGTGTACTCGATTTGACTCATCTCAGACAATTGAGTCAATGAAAAACCACCACAAGCTCTGATCACTCCCTTGACTATCACTTACAAACATTAAGCAGATTTGTATATGGTGTGATCCGAATACTTTCAATGTCCAAAGAAAACTCTGGTGAATTCCCCATCACACAAACATACACATACATCTCGAACTGCTGAGTGTAATTCACTGATGACGACTTTAATCAATTATTAACTGACTGCAGTTAGAGAACCATCGACAACCGCCAGTAGGTAATACTGGACAGTTACTCTGTCCTTGTTTGGGACTTTTCGGAAGCATGCAGCCACAAACTTATAAAAGCCCTCTAAGTTATAAGGCGGAGAAACCGTATATCATTGAGCCAATCGGATGGAATCTATTGGCCATGACATCATATTTGCTTACTCTCGGACGACAGCCAATGTCAAACGGGAATATTGGCTCTCACACAGCCAACTTGGTAGACCCATCCGGTCACGACATCGAATTAAAAACTCAGGCAACTTTATTCTGTGATCAGTCTATGATGAGCACAAAGTTGGGTGTGAGGAAAAAAACCCTGATGATATTGGTTGGAGGTAGCGATATATGTATCGCTTATTGGTGGAAGCTAGAATTTATGGGGTCAGCGCCTAGATTTCATCCCAATGGTTCATTGATACGCGAGCTCGCATTGTAACATAAAGGTCCTAGGTTCCATGCCTGATGACATCCTGGATCCGCATTGATAAAGAGTCCCAAACAAGGACGAAATCAGTCTGATGTCTTGAAAACTAATCACCGAAAGTGGATGATAACAGAAGAGAATGCTTAAAAAATCTCATTAAAAGACTTATTCCCTCTGTATTCATAACTAGACAGAGATTAAATTTAAGAAACAAATATTAAGGAGAATAATATGAGCTGTCTAAACATTTATATACATGATGAGTCCGAATGAGGACGAAACTTAGTTTGAAGTCCTACCAAATCATAAACATTTGACAATAAATAATATCATAAACACAGATTGTCTTTCTATATTAAAATTTATTGAATGATTCAACGTAACACTATGAATTACAATAATTTCATTACAATAAAGGCTTTTTGTATTTCCCAATGAATGAATGACAAAACGATATTGTTTTTACTGATGTTTCGCTATTTAATGCTAATAGCTTTCTCTTTCTTAATAATACAATAATTTCAATCATACTTGTTGAAGGTGACCAGCAGGGGAATCCAGCAGATGTGGAATTCGTCCCATTTGAGACTCCATCTCTGGATTTAAGTGGATTCCCGGTCAGTAATAGTGTTCCTACTGTGACTCAAACCCTGCATTCATCGTTCCAAACTTCAGAGAGTTATCCACTAGGCCACGACAGCCACCTCTTATGCAACAGGTATCAATTATAATGTGTCAGCACATAGACCAAGTATTTCGGCCCGAAATAATCAATAATCAAGGGGAAATACAAATTCACCTAAAAAATACTATTATTTTCTCATAGCCCATTAACTAACTAACTTTATTGAACTGAAATTGCTCAACTCCTGTTACGAACTCTTTGATGATCTCTTCACAATGTGTTAATATGATATGATTCAGATGACGTATATATTTCCCTATCCAGGACACATCAGCTGAATGTAGCTGCACATAACCTATCTCTTGTAGTATCTATAGATAATGTTTTGACAGTTGAAACGAAGAGCACTGAGTTCGACTCTCACTGGAAACATCATCACGCTAGAATGTAGTGACATTTGGTTGACGAAGCTCAAATAGGATGAAATGCGCATCTTAGATTGTACTAATAACCACTATGAATCAAAATAACAATATATATATATATATATATATATATATATATATATATATATATATGATGTCAAAGCCAGCCAGTTTGGAAATCTTCTGTACTGCACTCAGACAGCATAAAGAACAAGATTCGGATTTTAAACACAAATATGAAGTCAGTCAGTTCTTCTATACGGGTCAGAAACTTGACCAGAGTGTCACGAAAGGGATTTCCAGCAGGCTACGGCAGACTTTTATCAACAGCTGCCTTCAATGGCTCCATATTGAAGATCAAATGGCTGGCCGATCAGAAAGAATTAGCAACAAGAAACTCTGGAAGATGATGAACCAACAGACGAGAGCCAATTGCTTAACAAAGATTTAGGAAAAAGTGGACATGGATTGTTCACAAGCCATTGAGGTGGCCATCGAATGACATTGCATGCAATGCAGGCCATCGTTCGTGTGGAAGTCGAATGGGAAACGATGAAAGGGTCGTCATTGCAAGGTTGATATGGAGGTGATCGTGCGACGAGAAGATGAGAAATAGTGGGCAATCGTGGACCCAGCCAGCTGAAGAGGACAGTAGAAAATAGAACGAAGTGGAGATGTGTTGTTGAAGCCTTATGTTCCACTCGGAACATTATATATATATATATATATATATATATATATATATATATATATATATATATATATATATATATATATATATTACTTTTCAACATAAGAGAAGAATAAAGCTTACCTGTTCGTATCTCTAGCAACATCTTCATACACACTTTGAACACCAATTTCTAATCGTGTACATCCATAACGTAACATTTCACTATTGAACAAAAATTAAGTAATTGAACACACATTTGGCCTACCTTAAATGTTTCTTTAAACAATAATCTGGACGTGTTTCTATAGTGATACCGACGCATTTTGTTTTACTCCTTTCAGAATAACTAATGATTGGAAAAAAAAATAAGAAAGAAAAGAATTTTGATTAATGCTTTTTTTCAACTAAAAATTTTCAGGCATTTGCAGAAGCTAAGATCAAATCATTAAATCAGAACTAAATCTTCTTCCAACTTTATTCGTTCACATCTTGAGTAGAAATATTGAGTTTCAGGCTTTTAAATTTCAGGAGCAGTGGTGTCTTCACCTCCATACGCAGGCTTCTCCACTTTCCCAGCTTATTATCGGTTGGTAAACTAGGCAAGATGCTTAAGAGTTCATCAGGCAGGAAGGGAACCCGAAACACTCACACGAATTTAAACCCCGGATGCAAAAAATATACATTTTAAGAGCACAATATTCAACGAAGAGTGGTTCTCTTCAACGAATTTATTATTAGGCTGTACAATCGTACATTTATGGTGTTTTTTTATTAGAAATTATACACTTTGAGGAAATTTAAACAGGTGTATGAATACATAAAATAACAATGATAATAATAACATGAAATACAATAATAATAATAATTTGCTTTATTTCAAAACAGTACTTGTGATACAGAATGGAATTCTTAGCATTTCACTACAATATTGCATCCAATTAGTACATTAACAATAAAATAAAATTCTACATAGATTAAGGGTAATCTCAGTTAGTTATGACAACAACATATTCGCATGTCCATAGTAAAGCCAAAATTGAACAGGGTGTTTGAAGGTGTTAGAAAAGTAGATACTACTAGCATATTTACTGGCGTAAGCGGTAACAAAAAGGTCGAGATATTACAGAGTGTGAAAGAACGAAGAAGAATTATTTAAATAGAGTTTGTAAGGAAGAAAGAAACAAAGCAGCACATAACAGAAAAAAAGCGAAAAGGAAAAGAAAGAGAGAAAAACGTTGTACCCATAAATGATATGAGTTCGAAAGACGAGATCCAGTTGTTCTACTGACTATTTAATAAGTTATAGGTTGAGTTTTTGTACTTGCTAGTGTGAGCATATAGTTTTCTATATAAGCTTCTGGTTCTACCTGATGACATACAAGGGGAGAGTTATGAATGAAGAGGGTGGTGAGAGTTAAATAGAATGGATTTAGCCCATTTTTCGCATGGGTCCAAGTGCCTGTCAACCAGAATATTAACAAGCTAGTTAATATAGCATGAAGTCCAATTGAAATGTTTGTGATTATTATTGTGATTAAATGTCAATTTGCAAGACGATTAATATCATATATAGAATAATTCATAAGGTGTATAGATGTTGGAAAGGGTTGTGAAATTATACAGTTAGTAGGCTAATATAAAGCGTTACATAACATGGTGTGAAATTTGATAAGATAGTATGTCAATATTCTAAGAAATATTTGGATTTAGAATGACAAGTGGAAACAATTCAAAGTGAGAATAATAATAATAATAATCGTAGTAATAAGGGAAAGGTACATAGGATAACTAAATAAACAAAATAAATAAATAAATGTCTATCCCTCTACGGTCAATACAGAAGTAGGGAGTGTACATAGTTCTTTTGTACACAAATTCATAAATTGCCATGGCCTCCGCTGTCGTTAGAAGCTTAGCGAGGAAAACGCGCCTGGCTAGTGAGCATGCATTCGATAGACGGTCTTATAAATCATGTTTAGAGTTGGAAGAGTGACAGGAGTCGATCAAGTATTCAAGAATAAAGCTGCCTTTTTCAAGTTCTTTCTTTCTCCCGTATGATAAAGTTATCAGTGAGAGAGTTTGAATATCTAGTGTCACCTAGTGTTTAGAGAAATTGGAGGTCAAAACGAAATTTACTCATTTTTCTTCCAAGCTTCTTGATGTTAATTTCTCTCCTATCCGTCCTTTGTTATACTTTCTTTTGTGTTCAATTTATACTACTTAACACTAGTAAGTAGTATGAGTTAGTATCTGTTATTTCACAGATATGACTGTTGTTTGCTATTGAAGTCTAACCCACTATTCTATATGATACATAGTAATTATTTCCCCACAGTCAAACATTATCTGCTATATATGCCTTATTTATATACCCTTCTCTATTAAACATTGTTTAACTTAATCCTTTTATTCTTTGCCTGGCATTCGCGCGCTTTTTAATCTGACCGTAGATCACTCTCGACACAGTTTTACTGTTTTTATTACTGACACACAATTACTGCACATTTGACGGTATTCAGTCATAGATTCCTCAAGACTTGACGTTTTTATATATTATATTTCATTATTTTATGCACGATACATTTACAGTATTCTATACATATCCTCACTCAACGTGTGGTTTAATTAATCGACTGTATCATCGCTACGAGTTTCTTAGAAGATGTCTACACTTGGTAACAAAGGCAAAAGATGAAGAAGTGGATGTTTCAGATGTGTGAAATTCCAACTTTCATACCCTCACTTTAGTTTGCAAAGAAACTGGGAAGCATTATTAACATTTATGGAATGATTGTGAGTCACAGTCTGCTAAATAAATAACCTAGTGTCCTCCGATGACAGGCGAACAATGTATACCTAAGAAAGAATTAACTTTTAACACATACTTACAGAATTGTGTTTTGACTGGATTCAATAATTCCACTAACCATTTAGCAAGTTTATGCGTTGGGGATTTGCACATTGACAATATAGGACGTAGAGGATACATAAACCCAATAATCCTCTACGTCCTATATTGTCAGTGTGCAAATCCCCAACGCATAAACTTGCTAAATGGTTAGTGAAAGAATTAACTGTTTGACCAACTGACTGCCTTTTAACATGGAACTCTACATAAAAGTCTAGCAATTTAACCTGGCACACTATTCGCACACACAGATAGACAAACGAGAGAAAAAAAGATTTTGTATCTTTCGTATTTTCAACATTTTTACTGTGCGTCAGAGGTTCTGTAACAGTTTGATTGGTTTTCAGCGGTAGGGTCACTAGCCTCACACGCCCAACCCTCCATCTTTACCCGGGGGCTTGGGACCGGCTAGAAAACCAGCAAAGTAGTAAATTAGGCGAGGTTGCCAACACTTTGATAGTATGTAATTCCATTTTAACCTGCTTCAAGATGACATCAGCTAGAAAACTATTGGGGACTAACAGTAAGTAATGGAAAACTCTTTCATTCTAGTTTGGGACCATTCAGCAATACGCATTCATGATCACATTACTGAGGATCTTACTTATCACACCATTTAGGTTGAAGGGTGAGTCTGTTCACGATTCAGCTCCTGAGACAAAATCCTGTCAAATTATGGCGTATGGTAGTTTTGCATTCACTGAATTCATTGATCTTACACCCAAAGTGATCTGAAAATGACTCATAAATTATCGCATGCACATTAGCATGTTACTGATTTCGTTTAATAGTAGCATATCCGTTAAATTCAATTTTTTTCTTGCAACTACATCCTACTTTCTTGGACTTGTCAATCAGTTGGATGTCCCAGAGTACTCAGCAAGTGACAGTGTTATCACTGCTGATATTGAAGTGGTTATCAAGATGAATAATGAAAAGTGTGCAATTAAACCATCCATTTCATAGAACATGTAAAATACTACTACCAATTATATTAATTATTCACAGGTGTGTGTGTGTGCGTCGGTGGCACAGTGGCTAGGACTCGCGCCGACCATGCACATGGTCCGAGGTTCAGTCCCCTGCCGACGCACACCTGATATCTATAGTCGGCCTGCGAAATTTGGGCTACCGATATCACATGCTGAAAATTCCATACTTGTATCAAAAATACAGTGTGGAATCAAGCTGTAATCAAAAATAAAAATAAAATAAATAAAAATAAATATCAGTTAGACAACCACTGGGAAATCTGGGAGCACTAGACAGCTGTTTCGTCCTACTTTGGGACTCTACCAGTACGAACCCACCAGGGCTTTCAGGTTACGAGATGAGCTTGAAGACCATTCAGTCACCGAGACGCAATCCAATGGCCCACGTGTTCCAACTTTTGACGATTCGCGATATATATATATATATAGCGCAACTGCCAACCAATGCCATAGGCGTGTGTGTCCTCTTACCTCACATAGTGGATACCGCTAGTTACCACATTAGCTGGTGGTTGAGCTATATATGTATATATAAATATAGTGAATTCGCAGAAGTTTGAATTCATTGGCCATTAGATCGAGTCATGGTAGCTGAATGGTTTACGAGCTCGTCTTGTAACCTGAAGGTCCTACATTTGATCCACGGTGGTTGGGTACTGCTGAATGGTTCCAAATAGGACGAAACAGCTTTCCAGTACTTCCTGCAAGTCTAACTGATGTCAACTTGTGATCCAACCAGCAATTAATCAACTGCCTGCAAACCCACACTTAACATTATTAATTAATCAATATTATAACAAAACTTACCTAACAGCTTCATCAACATTTTGACTTGTATGTCCAGAAAGAGCATCATGTAAACTTCGAATAAAATAATCACGATATTCTTCAGATAAACACATAAATGTACCACCCATAACAATGAATTCCACTTTATCACATGCATGGCCAAGTTGTTGAAGCTAGTAAAATCAACAGAAATATTTAAAAAAAAGCATGTTTCTTTTTTGCCAAAAATTTAATTTAATACTTAGATTATGAGTTTTTCGAGAGAAATCAGATTAATTTCCATTTACATTTTGTTAGGAGACAACATCAGTTGGAGATTATTGAAAACTATGGAGTAGTACTAAACTACAGTTGTTTCGTCCCTATTTGGGACTCTTCATTGGTGATATCTCACGACCCCACTAAGGATCGAAGGACGGGTAACGAGGTCAGGCAAATTGACAATTTTACCACCTGGGCAGCTGAATGAATGTCCTGAAGCCTTAATGAGTAGTAGTCGCCAGTGGGATCCACCACCTCGAAGACATTGGTTGAACTGACAAAAGTCAGAATCTACGGGTTATCGAATTCCAGCCCAAGTGCCTGAATAGTCAACCAGCTTCACTTAATAATATGCAGATCTAGGGTTCGATCTCTAGTGGAGGGTCGTGTGCATTGATGAAGATGAGTCCCAAACTAGTACGAAGCAGCCGTCCAGTCCAGTCGTCTCCTAGTTTTCAATGATCTTTCTCTAACTGATATTGTTTCGTAACGAAATCTACACCGATTTATCACCATTGCTATTACTGTTAATAAAGATTACTTACCTGTTCAATACGATGACGTGTTTGAATGAAGGGATTGTAACGAGCTCGTATAGCACGCATTGAAGTTGGCTAATCGAAAATAAATTTACAAATGTTTATATGTATATATGATTTTATCAGTATTACCTCATATCCAGTATAGGATTGTGTAGAATATTCGAAATCAGAATCTGGTCCACCAGGACAATAACTATACATATGCACGACAGATTAGCATGCAAGGTGGTTAAGGGGAGTGGATACACAACTTACACACAGACATTTCCAGTCATAGCGATATGTGGACATCGATGCGGTTTACACATCACTGCTATTACAACAATCTAGAGAAGACGGTATTATTATTATTATTTTGAAAGGGAACTTGATCTACTTACACCACTAGCTGATCGTACTGGTTTGGCTTTTAATCGAGGTAATAATATCTATAACAAAAAAATTTATCAAGAGAAAAGGAATATTGTTTAGCTCTTCAATCCTACATGTTTATGTTCTGTTGGAACAGCAGCGATTAAATCGACTAGTCTTGGTTGTGAAGCTAAACCGTATTTACTAGATACAGCAGATTTTAGCCTAAGAGAGGAGGAAGTAACAAGTGAAGATAGATAGATAGAGAGAGAGATAGAAAGAGTTAGACGATGACTTACTTATTTAAATCAACATCACGTTTCTCATCAATGGCTTTAAGTAGATGAGAGATGATCTCACTGACAGTTAACATCATCAACTCTTCTTTAGTTGCATTTGGCACTTTTAAAGGGAAATTAATATGAATATATTAGTCGTAAAGACAAAATTACCTTTACGAGCTTTCACCATTTTTGGTTGAATCAAACTGGAATCTTTTGTTTGCCCGATTCAATGAGAGGTTTTCACATCTTTACATGGAAAGATAAAAAGGAAGAAAAAGAAAAGACATCAAACACATGTTTATATGAGCACTGATCAAGATCTGATCGAATAATTTGAAAAACGCCTAGCACTTAGTGTAAAGTAAACATGTGTAAAAATTGTGAAATTGTAGTACTTGCATAAATTTCAGTGAAATAAAAATAAGTAAATTGAATATTTCGTTCGGTAAACCGGTCTAAATTGCCTTAGGGGAATAATTTTAAAAAATTGGAGTATTTCCTATAAGAAGGTCGGATCAACCCAACCGAAGGCTGCCACCATGACGCAGTAGTCAGTGACACCTCTTAATGACCCAACGAGCTACAGTGGGTGGATCAAATCTTCCTGAAGGTCGCACCATGCCAAGAGGGTCGTTTGAATAGTAATTTGACTGAAACCAGTCACCTTGATAAGACAAATCGTTTACAGTGTGATGGTAGTCTCGCGTAAATAGAGATATAACATTAGGAAGGTGTTTTCCTCAACTGACCAGAAAGTCATCTATGCTACCTCTGCTGTAGGGAATGACGGTTATAAAAGGTCAGCTTCGAAAGTTGTATATCCCGACTTACCTTGCGGTAGTCCGTAACCGGTGGTAAGATTTTAATACGAAAGCAAAGCTAAAAACCACTTCAAATAGGCCTGAATAAGCCATCCCCGGCTTGTTTAGTCACATAACGCTAATGCTCTTCTATCTCAGGTACAGTCAACCTCAGTTTGCAGAAATAATTATTGATTTGTTTAGACATCGCTATGATTTATACAAGTATCATTTTTACATAAACCAAACACAGGTTTACACACTTGTTACATTGCGAATTGAAAGTCAAAGTCGCAGTTTGCGAACTGGTTCGTAATTTTGTGAATAACTTCGCAATATACACAGTTCAAAGGATTATTTTACCATATTTCCTTCGCAAACCGTAATTATTCAGATCACAATATGTGATTTGTCTGATACGACAAATGGTAATCAAGAAACAAAGTGTGAATGCATAAAACTATATACTACTGATTGACAGATGAGTAGTTGCATACCAGTAAAACCAGGAGCCAGGTCGGAGTGATTTAAGCATCCGACATCAGTTCCGAGTAGTTTGAACTGATCAAGAACTTCTCAAGCTGAATCGAAACCACGTGCACCACTGATGAGCCCGACCCTCAAAGTGTGCGAAACGGCTTTCCGGTGTTAAGATCACTTTGATTTGGTTAGAAAGCACTGCTGGTGGTTGCGAGTCGTATACAGCTACTCATCTCAATCAGTAGTATAAAGTTTTATGTGAAATATGAGCTTTGTCTGTCTGTTTTCGACATAGAACTTTGCACAAATGTGCGGAAGTTCAAGTCGCCACATTCCGTGTAGCACGCGAAGCAAGAGAAGAAAGTACAAGAAAAGCATAATAGAAACAGTGAGCAGAGGTGTGAGACAAAGGAGTAATAAAGAAATACAAAACAGTTTCATTGAAGATCATAAGTCACAGGGAGTGGATGCATCTGCGCCACTGAGAACGATTTTGAGCCATGTCACCAATTGTTTCCAACCATAGATTTTTACCGTCCCGAGGACCCCAGCCTGGAAGTCTACACCTTCCTACGTGGCTTAGACCAACTGTTGTGGATTTCATTGACTGATGCCAAGTTTTTGTTTGACCGCCGCTAGCTTTTTTCCAGCCTGACCCTATATCCGCTAACATTGCTCGTCGAGGGAGGCGATGGCTTGGCATACGTAACACATGTCCTAACCATCTCAGTCTTTGTAGCTTCACGACTTCGTCGATTGATTTCCCCTGTTTACCTAGAACTCTACGCCTAACCTCCATGTTGCTCACCTTATTATGCCACTTTACACGGGAAATAGAACGCAGGCACCTATGATCAAAGACAGCTAGTCTTTTCATGTCTTCCACTCTCAGTGGCCAGGTCTCACAACCATAAAGGAGGACGGAGCGGACTGATGAGCAGTACACCCGCCCTTTGGTCGATAGTCGAACATCTCGTCTACGCCAGAGTCGGCGTAAACTAACAAATGCGAAACGAGCCCCTTGTATTCGTGCTGAGATTTCGTCAGAGATCAGCCCGTTGGGGCTGATGGTACTTCCCAAATAAGTGAAGCGGTCAACGTGCTCTACCACTTCACTTCCTATTTTTAAACTAGGCGTCGATGTAGTCCAGTCCTGTAACATCATCTTGCATTTGGCGGGAGCGAATCGCATGCCAAACATTCGTAGATTGCGGCTCAAGGTGTTTAGAAGACTCTGCATTTCGTCAGCGTCTTCGCCTAGAAGGACTATATCGTCTGCATATTCCAAGTCAACGAGATTATTCCCCGGTAGCAAGTCAATCCCTGAGTCGCTGAAGTCACCTAGGGTTAAGTCCATTAACACATCTATGATGAAGTTGAATAGAAAAGGAGATAATGGGCATCCTTGACGGACACCACTGGTCGTCATCAGTTCAGATGACAGCTCGCCGTAAGCCCTCACCTGGCTGTATGAGTACGAGTAGAGTGCCTTAATCAGTGCAATATATTTTCTTGGAATTCCCTTTACAGCCAAGCATCTCCAGAGAACTTCCCGATCGACAGAGTCGAATGCTGCCTTTAGGTCAAGAAATATAATGACTGTTGGACGCCGGTAGGAATGCCTATGTTCTAGAATCTGTCGGAGGGTGAAGATATGATCAATACACCCTCTTCCTGGTCTAAAGCCTGCCTGGCTCTCTCGTGTTTGTGCTTCCCGAGCACCACTCAGTCTACGCATGATTATTGAGCCTAAGACTTTAGATACTATATTAGTCAAGCTAATCCCTCTGTGATTATCACAGGAAGACTTGTCTCCCTTCTTGTATATGGGGATAATCAGTGACTTACACCAACCCGATGGGACTTCTTCTGATTCCCAGACGCTGCCTAGTACCTCAGTTAATCCGGACAGTAAGCTGTCTCCACCGTACTTAAATACCTCTGGAGTCATTCCATCAGGTCCCGCTGCTTTGCCTAGTTTCAGATTGGTGACAGCTTTAGTAACCTCAGTTAGTGACGGAGGACCTGTGTCTATATCCCATTCAGGGAGGTGTTGGATGCTCGGAAGGTTGAGCGTGGCTGTGGGCAAATTAAACTGCTCCTCATAATGCTCTTTCCAACGATCCAGTCGTCTATCCTGGGAGCTAATTATAGTGCCATTTTTTTCCGAGATTGTCTCACTGATGATTTGTCTTCTCCCACCCGTTTCCCTGATGAGTCCAAAGAGTTGCCTGGTGTTGCCTATCCTCGAAGCTTTCTCCATCTCTTTGGCTTTTGTCGCCCACCACTGTTCACGGTCCTTGCGGAGACTTTTCGTAAGTTTCCTCTTGTGCAGCTTTCGCTCCTCATTGAATTCGGAGCTCGCCGGAATAAGTCTTCTAGCATCTATCAGTTCGGATGAGGCGGTGGAGATCCAGTGGTTTTTACTCACCTTTGGGTTTACCTTATTCACAGCTTTTACAGCTGTATCTATGGCTGCCTGGATATTTTTCCAAGCTTCTTCAGGGTGAGCACAGCTGTCGAACACAGATATGTGTTTAGCTAGTTCTTCCTCAAATACGGATTTAGTTTCCTGATCGAGCTGGGGACGTGATGGTTTTACCGCCAGCTGTTTCCTACGTCCGTTCAGTCGTAAGCACACCCGAGCGCGGACCAGTGCATGGTCGGTATCTACGCACGTGTTCCAGAAGGAGCGACAATCTCCTACCGACCCACGCCAACGATAGCTTATTGCTATGTGGTCTATTTGTGTCCAGCGTTGGTTTGATGAAGGGGGTCTCCAAGTCAAACAGTGTCTCTCCTTGTGTTTAAAGTTAGTGCTTACAAGAAACAAATGATTATCAGAGCAGAACTGTAGGAGACGGTCACCGTTGTCGGTTCGCTGGCACGGAGCTCCATAGGTGCCACCGACATCCTTCTCAGATTGACACAATTTCCCTACTTGAGCGTTAAAGTCACCAGCTAGAACGACTATGTCTGAGCGTTTAGCCTTTCCACCAAACTAGACAGCTTTTGGTAGAACTCATCCTTCGTTTCATCTGAACTGCAGTCAGTGGGGGCGTAGGCGGAGATTACGAAAAGGCATCGGCGAGTAGTGCAGTCCTTCCTCCTTCTTACTGATCCGTTCAGGCGGACAGCACACATTCGGCTATCTACCGGGATCCAGTCAAGCAATGTCTTTTCTGCCCTAGTACTCAAAGCTATCCCTACGCCAGCTAATCCTCGTGAACTAGCTGTGGCATCTCCTGACACCCTCAGGGTGAATTTTGCAGATTCAACCTGTTGGCCAGGTGGGGTTAGGTGAATAACCACACTTGGGTCTTGTATGCGTGTTTCTGAAACACAGCATACATCAATGGCTCGTGATGCCAGGGTCTTGGCTAGTGATGCTTGTTGTCCTATTTGGCAAAGTGTCCTAACATTAAGAGCTCCTATATGAAATTGGTGGCGCGGCTTTAAGAGGCTGTCGGTGGTGGTTTTTTGGCTTCCATCGTTTTTAGTGGACGCAGAGTGGAGAGGAAGTGGAGAGCTATCAAGTCGAGGAGTTGCATCAGTGGAAGGAAGGCAAGATGATAGAGATGAAGATGAAGACAAAGATGAGTGAGTAATAGAGAGGTTTCGTGTGCATTTCGGATTGTGAGGGCGATTGTTACTTCCCGGCTGCCCACACCGTGGAAGTTGGTTGCGTGACCGCAGAGCCCAGGGGACAACTGCTTGAGGCCGGTCACACGCGGCCTGTTTTTGTTCGTTCTTTTTTGTTTGGTGTGTCTCAGTAGCAGATTTATCACTCCCGCCCTGTGACACGGCAGCAGGAAGCGCGGTCGTTGTTAATCCGGGCCACGGCCGATCCGGCATGAATTTTTGTGATTTTGTATTGGACATGATGTTGGATTGAGCTTTAATTTGC